GTAGCTGGGACTACAGGCATGTGCCACCATGCCCAGCTAATTTTTGTATTTTTAGTAGAGACGGGGTTTCACCATGTTGACCAGGATGGTCTCGATCTCTTGACCTCGTGATCCACCCTCCTCGGCCTCCCAAAGTGCTGGGATTACAGGCTTGAGCCACCGCGCCCAGCAATAGTGACTCTTTTATTATTATTCTTCTTTTTTCCTCCTTCCTCCCCTCCCCGCGCCGCAAGTAGTGACTCTTAAACTGATTGGTAAATGGGGCGGGGCACAGGGCTCATGCCTGTAATCCCAGCACTTTGAGGGGCTGAGGTGGGAGGATTGCTTGAGCCCAGGAGATCAAAGCTAGAGTAAGCCATCATCGTGCTACTGCACTTCATCCTGGGTGACAGAGAAAACCCTGTCTCTGAAAAACAAAACTGGGGAGAGAGCTTTCCAGGCAGAACAAGACAGATTGAGCTGAGCATGGTGCATTCACAGATAGGGAGAAGGCCGGCGTGGCAGGGGCCTCGTGTGTAACAGGGCAGGCCGTGTGAAATACGGGTGGCCAGGGTAGACTACTCCAGGGCCAAGTAGGACCTGTGCTATGGGTTGAAAAGATACATTGAAGTCCTAACCTTTGGTACCTACCAATGTGAACTTCTTGGGAAATAGGGTGTCTTTGCAGATATAATCAAATTAAGAGGAGGTCATTAGGGTGGGCACTAGCCCAGTTTCACTGGCATTCTTATTTTTTAATTTTTTTTGTTTCTTGAGACAGAGCCTTGCTTTGTTGTCTAGGCTGGAGTGCAGTGGTGTGATCTTGGCTCACTGCAACCTCTGCCTCCTGGGTTCAAACGATTCTCCTACCTCAGTCTCCCAAGTAGCTGGGACTACAGGCACGCACCACCACGCTTGGCTAAATTTTGTATTTTTAGTAGAGGTGAGGTTTCACCATGTTAGCTAGGCTGGTCTCAAACTCCTGACCTTAGGTGATCTGCCCACCTTGGCCTCGCAAACTGCTGGGGTTACAGGCGTGAGCCACTGCCCCTGGCCAGGATTTATGATTTTGTTTTATTTTATTTTATTTTATTTTTTATTTTTATTTATTTATTTTTTTTGAGACGGAGTTTCGCTCTTGTTACCCAGGCTGGAGTGCAATGGCGCGATCTCGGCTCACGGCAACCTCCGCCTGCTGGGATCAGGCAATTCTCCTGCCTCAGCCTCCTGAGTAGCTGGGATTACAGGCACGCGCCACCATGCCCAGCGAATTTTTTGTATTTTTAGTAGAGA